TACGTAGTACCGTATACTACTACTACTACTACTACTACTACTACTACTACTACTCTACTACTACTATACTATACTATATTATATATACAGACAGAGAGAGAGAGAGAGAGAGAGAGAGAGAGAGAGAGAGTTTTAAATATTCAGTTTTTCCCCACTTATAGTTACATATACAGAGGGTTCATGTTACAGGTATCATGTCCCTCGCTCATGGCTTAATCCTACTGGAAATGTGTTGGTTCTCCTTGAAGAGCTTGGGGGTGATCCCACTAAGATCACCATAGTAACCAGAACAGGACAACAAATATGCAGTCATGCATCAGAATCAGATATTCCACCAGTTGACTTTTGGGACAAAAATAAACTTGACTTTGAGGCTGTGAGCCCTGAAGTTAGAATAAGTTGTGAACGAGGGTGGCAGATTTCTTCTGTCGATTTTGCAAGCTTTGGAACTCCACAAGGGAAATGTGGCTTGTATAGTCATGGATCCTGCAGTGCTAAGGATGTCCTATCACTTGTTCGCAAGGTGGCACAATCGTTTCTTTCTCATCTTCTTCCCATATTAAGTTAATTCTTTATATTGATAAATTTCATTCTATGAATTTCTATGGAAAGTCAAGTTTTTGCAGAGTTCTGAAATTTTGGGTATCTTCAAGAGGCTTTCAAATTTTTGGGGTGTTGGATAAATTCTCGGAAAGACCTTGAGAATGGTTTGAGGGAAACTTTTCAAAATGAGTAAAAAAACTAGAAAGATATATGAATAGGTTAGTTTTCCATGTACTTTCTAATACTTTCTAAACTACATATTTATGGAAGCTTGTGTTTGATGAAATAATTCAAACTTTGTTATGATTTCTTATGAACTTATCTTTTGAAGTAAGCAAAAAATGAGAGAAAAGTGAAGAAAAATAATGAATTTGGGGAAATGTCTGGCATAACAAAGGGCAACTTTCTTTTGGCATGTCTTTCGATATTACCCAATGTTTAGTAGAAATTGGAACTAGTGAGCACTGTACCAGCACTGTTGTGTCCACTAAAAGTGTGCCCACACATGCGATTATGTGTTGGATCTTCGAATATGCACATACATGGAATGCTCATTTTCTTAGCATAAGCTTTCCAATTATGTACTGTTATCTTTTGAGGATGGATAAAATAAAGTCAAGTATTCTGATGAATCTTCCCGAAAGTTTACTGAGCATTTCGTCCATGGTTATCAAATTATTTGGCTTGCTTATGTGTGCTGCATTTACAGACATGTGTTGGGCATGAAAGTTGCTCTATCCCGGTATCTGCAAGCGTTCTTGGGGATCCATGCCCATCAGTGGTGAAAAGCCTTGCAATCCAAGCTACATGCACTGATTTATATACTTAGTGCTCCGAATGCTTGAAAGGTATAATACAAATTTCCATTTTCCTTGTCTCTCTTTTAGTTTGATTTTGTGACAGGCTAATGTTATGATCTCTATGTAAACGATTGAAAGTCATTGAACAGATATTCTGTTTTTCTGACTGTTGCTTCTCCTGAATAAATAGTGGTCTTATCAATAGGCTGTGAAGCATAGCAGCGTGGTTGCTAAGCTTGTATTTCAAGCACCATGTAAATTGTAAATGGTCGAACAAACATTTTGTTTTTCATGTTTTGGAATAAAAAGTTGCCTCTGTCAATTAACTTTGAAGCCTAACAGCCCCCCCTTTCTCTCTCTCTCTCTCTTCATATGTGTGATCCAAGATTCATTTGATTAGAAATATTCCGAAATTGTTAGGTCAATATTAATTTGTGATACAAAGCAGTTGTAAGATATCTTTGGCAAGGGACATGCCAATGGCCAAAAGCCTACAAGTAAAAAGCACGAGTTTCATCATCATTTGAGCTTTTTCTTAATTAATTGGGGTCAGGTATATGAATCATAGTTTTTTATTCTACTCTATTAATGGCCATGTCTTCAGTGAGGTCATAACTCCCTATATCTTTTCGGATTACTTCCAACCACGTCCTTTTGGGCATACTTTTTGCCCTTTTCAGTCCTTCTAGTTGAACTAACTCGCACCTCTTAACAGGTGTAGTACTTCGTCGTCACACATAGCCAGCCCACGTAAGTCTACTCTCTCTCATTTTATCGCCTATTAGTGCCATGCCTAAATTCTCTAGAATAGATTCATTTCGAATTCTATCCTTCTTGTCTTGTCACTCATCCATCTCAACATCCTTATATCCGCCACACTCATTATATGAGCATATTGTTTTTTGTCCGCCTAACATTTCGCCCCTTAGAGTAAGGTTGCTCTCACCGCGGTCCTATAGTACTTGCCTTTCAACCTCATCGGTATGTGGCGATCACATAAAATTCTAGTTGCACATCTCCACTTTACGCACATATCTCTAATTCTGTGTGCGACATCTTTCTCGATCTCTCTATTTTCATGGATTATCGACCGAAGGTATCAAAAGTGCGGTTTTTTTTTTATTTCCTGACCGTCAATCTTGGCTAGTTCTTCGTCTCTACTCTTATTATTATTAAACTTTCACTCTATATACTCAGTCTTAGTCTGGTTAATTTTAAAACTTTTGGATTCTAGAGCATCTCTCCAAAGTTCTAACTTTGTGTTGACGCCGTTTCGGGTCTCATCAATCAAAACTATGGCATCTACGAACAACATGCACCACGATAACTCATCCTGTAGTGTTTAGTTAAGTCGTCCATAACTAAGACAAAGAGGTACGGGCTCAATGCTGACTCTTGATGTAGGCCTATTGTCACTGCAAACTCATTTGTCTTTGCAGTAGTTGTTCGTACATTAGTTAGCACTCCATCGTACATATCGATGTAGTGTCTAGAGACACCTTTTTTTCCCAACACCCGCCAAATAAAATCTCAAGGTACTCTATCATAAGCTTTCTCTAGATTAATAAAGACCATGTGGAGGTTTTTTCATTTCGCCCTAAACTTCACAATCAGTTGCCTAAGTAAGAAATAACCTCAGTTGTTGACCTTCCTGGCATAAAACCAAATTGGTTTTCAGATACACGTGTTTCATGCCTTAGTAGTTGCTCAATGACTCTCTCCCAGAGCTTCATAGTATGACTCAGACGCTTGATCTCTCGATAGTTTGCACAATTTTGTGTCTCTTTTTTTCTTGTAAATAGGTACCACAATACTTTTCTTCCATTCGTCTGACATTTTTTTTGTTCTCAACACCTTTCCTATCTTCATCCTTTTCAAAGCTTCTTTCACTTATAACATCTTAATCCTACGAATGTATCTATAACCTCCGCCATCACTTGTACCAACAGTCCCTTCTACCACCATGTTATCATTGTTCGTCATTTAATACTTTTTGAAAATAGACTCTCCACTTTTTATTGACCTCGTCATCCTTCACCAAGACCCTTTGATCCTCACTCTTAATGCATTTAATATGGTTTCGATCCCTACACTTCTTCTTTTTTATTTTTGCTAATTTGAAGATATCTTTCTTACCTTCTCTTGTTCTCAGTTTATTGTATAGATTACTATATGACTTAAGTTTAACTTTACTTACCATTTGTTTAGCATTTTTACATTTTTTTAAGTTTTGATCGTTTCTATTATACTGCTAAGTTTTATAACATGATTGTTTTTTACTAATGGCCTTCTAAACATCATCATTCCACTACCAAGTTTTCTTATTGAAGTTTATTTTCTCTCTAGGTTCTTCTAAAACTTCTTTTACCACGTTCTTGATACGTTCAGCGATCTCATTCCATATTACATTGACATCATGTTCAAAGTTCCATTTTCTTTCTTCGACTGATGTATCCTTAAATAAGTCTATTTTTTTATTTTTTTAAATTCCACCACCTAGTTCTTGGACGTCCATTACGTTCGTCCTTTCTCCTCCATGTCTCTATGCAGACGTCCATGACCACGAACCTATGTTGCATCTCATATCAAACCACAACACTATGAGCTTCACAATGGACGACCCAATAAGAGATGTTACATAACTTATTCTGGCCTAGGAACAAAAACTAGCGTTTCTTTCCATGTCTAGACAGAGCACTAAAATTTCAAATAACTGTCTTAGAGCACTTCCCAATGTATGCATGCATGCATAGATGTCTATGTGTCAGAGACAATACAAGTATTTGGCTTTCTGCAATGATCAAATGATTTGTGCCTTTACTAGTAGACAGACTTTGCAAAAGCATCATGAAAGGTTTTGAATCTATTGCAAAGGCAATGCCTCCAAAAAAATAATCTCACTGTGATCAAAATGCCATCTTTCCTTCACTAGCTTTTTCATTGCAATAAAGCCAAAATTTTCAAGAATGAGTTAAAGGAACCCAGTAATCCACCCATGAGCTCTAAGAACCTGTCATTAAATATTGGGAAAGGGGACTTCTCAATCAATCTGGACCCCGAATAAGCTTCCTTGACAAACACAGTGGTTCGAAGTGCGAATTCTCTTGTGGGTTATATAGAATAATCCATAGTAGCTAGCCAAACATACAAAAGCCTACAATGTAATGAGAGTATGAAACACATCCAGTTGAGCAAAAGCTGGCCTCTTCTCCATTATTAAGCTAAGAAGCTCATGAAAATGTGCCACTGCTTGTTTTCTTGCAGCTGGACTAGCATACTTGAATTATTGAGCATTCATATATGATAAAGAACGAAACCAGTTTCTAACATTCTTTGAACCTCCTCTAAAGACTTCATATCACGCCTAAACCCATCTAGAAAATCTAATTTAAAAGAAAATGGGCCTAAGAAATCACCATCTTTTGATATTGGGACTTTATTGCCAAGACCAGAGATTGAGAGTGGAATTCAAAAATATACCAGAAATGTAGTTTTCAGAGCGACAAGTTTGGGTCCAGTGTTTCAAACAGCACTAGGCGACACCCAGGTGGCCATAGGGGTCTAGGCCACCCAGTGCTTAGATGGGCCTCCAGAACCTGGGGGCCTCATGGTGTAACTGAGGGTATGGCCATAATCCCAGTTAAAAAAAAAAAAAAAAATCGAGAAGAGAATTTTGATAATCCATAAAACCATAATCCATATTTTCATACAATGCTAAAACAGTAAAACCATACAAGCATACACTGATAGTCTGATACACTGTAAATTGTACACATAAAAGTTAGATAGTAGAACTAGAAACTAAAAATAAGAAAAAAAACATACAGAAATTAAAAAAATATATAGTCAATGACACAATAGTCAACACTCAACACCAAGAATCTTCACTCTTCAGTCATCATGATCATCATCATCATCAGAAAGAATAAGGTAAGCTTCATCATATGCATCAGAATTGTGGTCATCATCATTAGAGTCATCTCCCTCTTCAATATAACACTCATCTTCTTCTGTTTCTTCTGAATCTGTCTCTTCCTCATCATCTTCTTCTGCCTCCCTCTTACTAGTATGTGTGCAAATGAGGCTCTAGGAGTCTTAGTTGCTCTACACTTTTCTATCTTTTTGTGCTTCCCTGAACTTAAATATTGTATAATTTCCTCCCTGGTAGTGTCAAGACTATTTTTACACAGAGCAACATCCCCCTTAATACCGGCAATGTGTTTTTTAAAAGGGTAAATGCCCTCATTAATATCATTTCCACAATAATTATATTTAATACGATTTTTGTCATTCGGATTCAGGTTATAACCACACTTCCAACCCGGATCACCACTTTTAGAAGAACCAGGAGAAGATATTTCTACATAATAAGGCTCATTTTCATCATTTTGTGGTTCTTTTAAATTCAAAAGTTGTCTAATCTCATCCCGAATAGCTTCAGGAACCTTTTTACAAGAAGCAACATTCCCTTTTATATCGGCAAGATGTTTCTTGAATCGATTAATACCCCCATTGGTATCTTTTTCACAAAAATTACACCTTATACAATTTTTATCGTTTGGTTTTGGGTTATAACCATACTTCCAACTTGGATCACTTCTTCTAGAAGTAGTAGAGATAGACGTATTTAAATGACAAGGATTTTGTTCTTGTTTTTGTTTTACGGAACTCATATATTGCCTAATCTCTTATCTGATCGCTTCAGGAACATTTTTATAAGGGGCAACATTCCCCTTAATACCGTCAAGATATTTCTTAAACCGATTTATGCCCCTTTTCGTATCTTTTTCACAAAAATTCATTTGAATTCAAGTTATATCCATATTTTCAACCCAGATTTCTACTTCGACTATAACTTGAAGAAGACATCTCAAAATAAAACAAAACTAGCTATCTAAAAAATAAATTTTTGTACTTACTTTGATTGCTCAAACTCCAAACTCCCACGTATGAGATGTTTTCTGATGCTAAAATAATAAAAAACCCCTTCTAATAGGATTATAAAACTCCAAAACTAAATCAAATCTACCTGGGTGATGTTTGGATCCGTTTTTCGTAACTTTGAGAAACACTTCAATCCCATAAAAGTTACAAAATTTAGTTTTCTTGAGGTTTTTTTCTCTCCAAAATAGGTTCTTATGGGTTTAGGTATGAAATGAACTTAAAACCCATCATTCAAACCCTTTATATTTAAAAAAAAAAATCAATGCCACTCAGTTTGGCTGCCTAGGCCTAAGCAATGAGCCCAGGCCTTCTGGACCGCCTAGGCGTTGGGCGGTTCGCTTTTTGGAACACTGTTTGGGTCCATTAAAATTGATCTATTCAAGTTGATC